TTAGTTAGCACTAAAGTTCCTTTACAAGGTCTAGTTTACCCTGGCTCTCATAACCATATTCATAAATTTTGTCATATTTGTCTCCCTTGTAAAATAAGAATGAGGAAAGAAAACTCATTACATAAAACATGGAGCTCTGGCCTCTGTATATACTTGAATAGCAGCTTGAATTTGGGCCTAGAAGATAGGACATCTTGATGGTTCTGGTGCCAACTAGTTACGTGACTTTAAAGAAGTCCCTTTCTCTCTCTGAATCTAACTTCTTCATAAAATGACATATTGGGATTATATGAGCTTTAATGTTTCTTCTGTAGCTATAACTTGACTTACGAATAATGGAAACATTGATTAAACACCTCAAAAATAAATGTAAAATGTAAGTTTCCCTTTCAGAACATTTCTGGTAAAGCAAAATATCTTTCAGTGTTTTAAAATCATCTTTTAGTCTTCTCTTTCAGGATAAAAATTCCTAAAATGCAACTATTTTGCCAGGTTAAACATTTCAATAACAGTTTGAAAAGTAATATATTAATATTGTTCCCAATCTAACAGATCCCCAAATTCTTCTACTCTAATTCTATTTCAGAAATAATTTTATTTTCTTTACCATTACATGTTTAGAACATGAATTAGTGCTCTTGAACTGAGTCATAAATAGCTTCTTAGTTTTTTTCTTTTGTTAAACTCTTACTGGTGTGCACACTGGGAACTCTATAAATATTTGCTGAATGAATTAAGGAATTCTTGAACTGTAGAAGTGGAGTCTTTATTTTTATTATCCCCTTAAGTAATTTTTTTCCATAATAAAGTCTTAGAAGCACCCATACATAGGATATTATCCACATTATTTAGAATAGGGTAGTAAGGAAGGCCTTTAATCTAGTTTTATTTATGACCTAGTGACTTCTCCAAATCAACCTTTTACCACTCCTCACTGCTTAGCTATAGTGAAATATACTTTGACTTGTCAAAAATCAGTGTTTCTGAATCTCTTGTATACTTCCTTTTTCTTCTGTGCCCTTGACTCCTTTGCTAGCTTAGAACTTAAGTGGAACTTCTGTGAAGTTTGCCAGACAAATTCATGCTTCTCTCTCCTCTGCTTCCATAGTACCATAATACTATCATTGTGCTACTTTTATTTCTATTTATGCTTTCCAGATTGTATCATGATTTCCTCAAAATCAAGAATTGTATATTATTTCTTTGTTTTCCCAGAGTCCAATTAAAAAATAATGAATAATGAACCCTGTAATGAGAGTAGGCATTTATTGTCATTAAAATGCTTGTTGAATGAATGAATGAATAAAAATCTGAAGAGTCCAGAAATGACAAAGTTTAAGACATAAACCATTAGTCAATGTTCTGTGATTTTCTAAAAATCAGCAAGCCAATATATATGAATCTGGTTGCTTTCTGTTCTGCAATACCTTCTCTAGTGCATTGATTCTTCATGGCTTGGGCACCCCTGGGCGCTTTGAGACTCTTTCAGGGGATCTGTAAGGTCATAACTATTTTTGCAATAGTATTAAAATGTTATTTGCAATTTACATTATCAATCTTTCATGAGTGTACAGAAGAAGATCCTAAGAGCTACATGATGTATGGTATCACAACTGATTGAATGCAGAAAAAGATATGAGAATCTAGTTCTCTTCAGTTAAGCCAATCATTATAGAGACTTGCAAAATTTAAACAATGCCATTTTTCTAGTAAGTGTTGTTAATGTTAACATGCAATGGTTTATTATTTTAAATGAATTAATAAAAAATTTTAAAATTTCTTGGTTTTAATTTCAAATATTATAAATAGTAGGTATAACATTTAGAAAGCTCTTTAGGCTCCTTAATTTTTAAGAATTATGTAAAGGAGAACTCAGATCAAAAAGTTTGAGAACTACTACTTTATAGTCTTTCCACACTGGTCAAATTGTACAAATTCGTCTGAAGTAATTACCCATCCAAAATTCAGGGAAATAGAAATTCCCACATAAGCAGCCTTGCAACTCAAAATTTGATTTGAGTTTTTTTCCACCAGTAAATGGTCAGACTTCTTTGAGAGTGCATGTAGATACCTTACTCAGCTTTCAAGCTTGTCAAAATGTGCCACTTGGGGGCTGGTACTGTCTATCAGTGACAAGAATGCTTGCCTTATACGTGTAAGGCACTGGGTTCAATTCTCAGCACCACATAAAAATAAATAAATAAATAAATAAAGGCATTGTGTCCATCTACAACTAAAAAAATAAAAAAATAATGTGTCACTTCTTTCATGAAGCCCTTCCTGATTTTTACAACTACATATGCTGTCTGCTAGGTTGATTTGTACAGTGTTTTCTCACCCTTCATGGATTTGTAATTTTAGTATTTTTATGCATGGTTTTCCTTCCTATTAGACCATAAAGTCCACGAAGACTGAGTGGTACTGTGTGGAAAGAGAATGAGCAATGGGATCTAACATACTAACCAAGTTCCCTGTTACTAACTCTGAGACCCTAGGCAAGCTTTTTAAATTCTCTGAGCTCTGGTTCCTACATTTCTGAATGGGATGACAATAACTACCCTATTGCCATCCATACTGAATAGAAAGAACATAGTATAGTGTTCAATATACAATTGGTACCCAATAAATACTAGCTATTACTATTTAAATCTGTAAATCTGTATCTCCAATCATATTACCTTTGGTACTGCAGGCACTTGATAAATATTTCTTAAATTAATTGAAATTTAACATGCTATTGGACTTTCCCTTGAAACAGAAAAAATATGAGGCTCAAGCAAACAAATTCTAGCTGCGGTCATCTCTTTTCTTTTTTTCAGACTGACTTTCTTTGCTGTACGACAACAGAAACAGAACATCAGTTCTATTATTCTGAACTTGTTAAAACAACTCCTCTTAGTCTGATATTTTAATCTGTAATTATAAAGCTCTCCATAGATTTTAAAACCCTATAACTATCTTTTTTGTTATCCCAGGATTGAACTCAGAGGTGCTTAAACACTTTATAACCTCCCATCCCTCTTTTTATTTATTTATTTTTTTTATTTTGAGACTGGGTCTCACTAAGTGCTTAGGGCCTCACTAAATTACTGAGGTTGGCTTTGAGATTGTGATCCTTCTGCCCCAGAATGCCAAACTGCTGGGATTACAGACATGCACCACCATTCCTGGCTTCTATAACTATCTTTTAAGAACAGTCTTTGTTTCCCCTGTGATTATTTCTGATCTACCATTAGGTTGTTCTATAAGCCTGAAGGGGTATGCTATTCCTTCTGAAACTGCTAAAGGGAAAATTTGCCTTCCTTCAGAAGCAGCAAAAATATTGTACTGACATATATTCCATTACAAATATATCTTTAGCTTTTATAAATAGAATGGTCTCTGTAGTTTCAGTGTAGCTTAAACATACTTTAAGATGTTTAAAGTATCAGAAGAGGCTGAAGATATCAGAAGATACTTTTTATTTATAAAGGATGTCTTAATGGTGATCAAAGTTTGTATATGCTTATTATCAATTTGTGCTAGACCTGAGACATGCAAAACATAATCCTTGCCTAATCGAAAACCCTATCTCAAACCACAAAGAATCATCATATCTGAATTACTGATATAATGGTATTATTAATTTCAAATTGTTTGGGCATAATAGAATACAATCAAAAAGTAAGACAAGAGCAACCAAGTTCTTTGGGAAACTTCTGTCCTTGATCTTTAAGTACTTATGTAACCTAAACATGTAGTTGGTGATACAAAAATTCTCAAACCCTCAAGTTCAAAAACATTCTCTTAAAGTTCCTAAATTTCCTTTTTGTATAATTCAAAAGGCTTTTTATTTTCTCCTTCAAATTCCTGAATGCTATGACATGAATGTCATATGATGGAAAAGGGTCTCAAGATTTTTAAGTAAAATCTGTTTCTAAATCTCCTTTCAGCCAGTGATTTCAGTTGTGTTACCTAGATGTGCACTGATCCCAACCTTCACAATCCTGAGAAGATTGCACAACATCCTAATCCTAAGCATTTTGTTGCTGCATAATTTTATCTAAAATGGCAGAACCAGAGCTAAAATATTGATTTGTTTTTCTTTATCTAGTACATATCTTCCTTCAGTACAACGTGCTATTTTTTTTTAAAGTCAAGTTATCTTTAAACACCACCCAAAGTACAGACTTCAGATAACTCCCTTAGAATGTTATGAAACTCCAATAAAGGGTGAAAGCCAAAGTACTGAGAGTGCCAAAAAGAAATGAAGGCTATCACAAGAAAGCAACAAATTAGAAAGAATGCCTGGAAAAAAAAAAAAAAAAACTTAATTGTGGTAGGTTCTCCATGTTCCGTGGGGGGTAGGGGGTGGAGAGAGAAGCAGAGTGAGGGGCAGTGACAGGGCAAAGGACGTAGAAACTGGGGAGATGGAAAGAACCCTGGAGGTTTGCCACGCTGCTCCTCATCCACAGCCTCTACATATCCTGGCCTCTCCCTGTGTTGGAAGAAAGCCACCTCTCTCCCACCTCTTTCTCCCAGTGCCCCTTTCCAAGCATGCTCGCTGTCACCCACCTCCAAGGACTGTGCCCAGGAAAATGCATTTCTTTTTGTGACGTTTCAAAAAATTCCACATAGATCTCAGCATCTTCAGGCGCTGGGGGTGCGGGCTGCTTGGGGTGAGGGACAGGTTCACCAGGAAACCGTTTCTTTGTCACCTGGGCCGGAAGACCCGGCAGGATCCCCGTCGTCCCTCTCGGTGCTCTCCAGAAATCACAAACACGACTTTCCGCAGAGGCTGTCACCAGAGCGGGAAGGGGGCGTGGACTACAGAGCAGCTGCGCTTTCTGTCGCTGCCGCCGCGCCGCCGTCGCCGCTCACTGGTCCGGAGCTCCCAGGTCCGTCGGGAAATTGCTCCCGCGTGCCCTGGCCTTCTCCTCTCCCCCGGAAACGATAGCCCATTTACACTGCGTTCCGCAGTCCCTGCTCCAGCTTCGGTCTTGGCCTCTGGCACCCAGAGGTCGCGCTCCGGTGCCTTATGGAGGCAAAGGTGGCTTCCTCGCTGGCCCCAGACGGCTCGTGCGTGGTGTCAGCAGAGGAGATCGAAAAGTGGATGGAGGAGGCGATGCAGATGGTGAGGAGCATGGGAGGGTGGGTGCTGCCGGTGCGAACTTTCTCCAGCCCCATCCCTATCCTGGTTTTCCAGCAAAACTCCCGGGCGCGCTGTTTCACACCATCATCTTGATGGCGCTCAAATTTTTTGGTAATCGACTGGCTTTACTCTCATAATTTTTTAAAAGTCCTTTCTCACAGTGGCTCCGGAGAAAGGGAAGGAGAAAAATACAGAAATTATTTGTGTTGGTGTCAGGGAGTAGGTGCTAATGTAGCCCTTCAGCTGTTCCTTGGTCAGCGCTGCCTCTCCTTCCTTCCCGTGGACGCACAGTCCCAAATCTACAAGTCACAGGAGTTTGTATTTGGGACCCTCAAACGTATCTAGTAGAAGCAAGAAAGTTGAAATGTTTCTGGTGGGGAACAGTTTGAAATGCGTTCCTGTACAATCAGCGTGCTTCGTTCGTTCGTTCATTCATTCATTCATTCATTCAACGTCTACAGGACTTTCCTCTCTCCTCGGGCTTCCTTCCCTCGCCCTGTGTAGCATTGCTGATTGAGGAGGGCGAATCAGATTTGGGTATTATCCAAGCTTTACTCTTATTTGTGTGTGCCAATGAGCTTCTTAATTGGGTTTAAAGTTTGTATGGTGTATATATGTACAGCCTACTAGGACACAGTCCAAGAAATGCCTCCTGAGGCAATTTCATCACTGTGTGAACATCATAGAGTGTACTTAGCATTCCTCCTACACACTGGGCTATATGGCAAGCCTGTAACTCCTAGGCTACAACCCATTTAGCATGTTACAGAACTGAATACTGTAAGTTATTGTAACACAATGGTAGGTGTTGGTGTATCTAAACATAGAAAACTTAGTAATAATGCAGTGCAAAAGATTTAAAAATTGAACACCTGTATAGGCATATGCCTTGAACAGAGCTTGCTTTGGGTGAGTCAGTGAGTGAAATAGGATATTGTTGTATACAGTGTAGACTTTACAAACATTCTACACTTAGGCTACATTTTAGAAAAAATATTTTTTTTCGCCATTCAATGTGTTAACCTTAGCTTACTGTAACTTTTTAAACTTTTTGTTAAAAAAAAAAAAAAACTAAGACACAAATACACTCAGTAGCCTAGGCCTACAGGAGGTCGTACCAATACCACTGTCTTCCACCTCCACATCTTGTGCCTCTGCTGTTTTACAGTTAATTTTTTTTAAACAGGTAGAAGGAATACACTGTAATGATAAAAATGTAGTAAATACTTAAACAAGTAACATAGTAGATGATCATCATTATCAAGCTTTATGTATTTTCACCAGACCGGCAGTGCAAGTAGGGTTGTTTCCACTAGCATGACTACAAACCTATGAGTAGTATGTGGTGCAACTTTATTACAACATCTCCTGGCAATCGGATTTTTTTTTTTCTTTTTTTTTTTTGTACCAGAGATTGAACCCAGGCACTTAACCAGAGCCACATCCCCAGCAATTTTTATTTTTTATTTTGAGACAGGATCTAAATTGCTTAGGGCCTCACTAAGTTGCAGAGGTTGGCTTTGAAATTGCAATGCTCTTGTCACAGCCTCCCAAGTCACTAGAATTACAGGCATGTGCCACCACCACCCAGAGGCAATAGGATTTTTTTAACTCCATTATAGTCTTGTAGACTGTAAGCTATGATGCACAGGAGCATTTATCATTTTCTTTTACTTATATAATGTTCTTTTAAATTTGCTACTAATACTTTTTAAAAAGTGATCCTTGGTTAAAAAATCGATTTTATATTATAACTCAGGAAACACATATATGCAATAATGTAAACAAAGGTTTCATAGAACAGTGCTTTCCTTCATATATACATTTTTCCTGGTATTTTTATTTTAATGCATTAAAAAAATGCTAGTCATGACCTAGTAACTTGATACTCTGACTCATTCTTTAAGCCCTCTTCTAGATTTATTTTTTCCATTAGAGAATGCACAGCCTTCTGATACTTATGTGCAAATATGCATTTCAATACTAAACTTGTAATTTTTAATAAAAAATTATTTGTCCTGAACTCCTTTTAAAAAAAATTTTTTTAGTTGTAGTTGGACACAATACCTTTATTTTATTTATTTATTTATTTTTATGTGGTGCTGAGGATCGAACCTAGTGCCTCGCATGTGCTAGGTAAGGGCTCTACCACTGAGCCACAACCACAACACCCTGAACTCCTTTATGTTATTAAATTCTCCACATTGGACAGGGAATTTTCTTATGATACCAAATTTTCCTCCCAGTATAAATTAGCTTTCTATTATTATAACAAAATACCTGAAATAATTAGTTTATAAAGAGAAAAGGTTATTTTGGCTCACAGTTTTGGAGGTTCCAGTCCATGATCAATTGACTCCATTACTTTGGGGCATGTGGCAAGGCAGCACATCATAATGGGAGAGTGAGAGTCCTTGTATCAGGAGCCAAGGAACAAAAGGGAAAGACAAAGAAACAAGGGTATCACAATTCCCTTCAAGGGCAAGCCCCCAATAATCTAAAGACCTCCTATTAGGCCCCAACTCCTACAACCTCCTAAGAGTGCCACACTGGAGACCAAGCCTTTAACATATGGGACACTTATCTAAACCATAGCACTACCCCAAATCATTTCAATAATACCATGCACTAGATAGTTCCTAACAGCCGGGATGAAAATACTAAAGATGCATGAAGGCTAAAATATCATAGAGTAGGTTAGTCTGCTTTCCATCACCATAAAGAATATCTGAGGTAATTGATTTATGAAGGAAAAGATTTATTTTGACTCATGGTTTTAGAGTTCAAGTTTGTGATCCTATTTTCTCCAGTGGAACTGCCCATTGGTGATGGTGGAGAGCATGTGGTGGGGCAAAACTACTCCAGCCTCAGCAAAAGCGAGGTGCTGAACAGCTCAGTGAGACCCTATCTCTAAATAAAATACAAAATAGGGCTGAGGATGTGGCTCAGTGGTTGAGTACCCCTGAGTTCAATCAAAGACCTTCCACTAGGCCCCACCTTGGAAAGGTTCCATCACCTCCTGGGGTCCAACCCTCTAACACATGGGCCTTGAGGGGACATTGGATATGCACAGAATCAGCTGCATTTGTATCTTTCTATGGGTGAGAGATCCAGAGGGCAGATGATGCCTGGTGTGCTGGGAAACCATAATTTTGGTTTCCTCGGTTTATTTTCATAACTTTTCTCAAGGTGCTCATCTGCTGAACTTGCTTAGATGAAACTTTTACAGACACTATCATGAAGGTCGTTTCAGAACAGCCAAGTTCAGTCATTTGTTGAGATTTTCACTTTCATATTAGAACTGTGTTTTCTTCCCATTCTTTCACATTGTGAGTCTCTATTTTCTTTTAAGCATCTTTTCATCAAACTGCCTCAGGGCATTTCATCCACCCACCTCTGTAGTATTCTGTATCTAGACTTCTGCACTAAACACATAAGTCCTTTTGTGTGACTGTGGCAGATCACTTCATCCTCATAGCTTCACTTTCTACTCTGAAATGAGATGGTTGAACTCCAGAGAATTTCTGTGATCCCTATGGCCTTGACATTGTGTCTCTCAATTCACTTATAGATATCTAGGGTGTGATTACCTAGTTTACATCCTGTGTGAGGTTAAGGAGTTCCAGTTGCTATTATTATTATTATTATTATTATTATTATTATTATTATTTGCCAATGTGGGTTTCTTCATGGCTTAATCAAAAGAGAAAAAGTATTTGTCATAAATCTTGTTCTTCATCCTGAAAGAAATTTCAAATCTTAAATTATTTTGAGAATCACTTCTAAGAGTTTGAGTTTAGACCAGAAGCATAAGTACTGTCAAATCTGTAGGCAGCAGATTAGTTGTTAATTAATTTGTGGTGAGAATTTGTTTATTTATTTTAGGATGGGAGTCTCACTATGTTACTTAGTCTGTCCTGAAACTTGTAATCCTCCTGCTTCAGCCTCCCAAAGAGGGATTACAGGTGTGTACCACTGGAAGTGAAAATGTCCAGTATTATATGTAATGGGGAGGATACAAGTGTCCTCATAGCATATGGATAGAATAAACATATTTCTATGGCCAATATGAATCACTAGAATGGCTGACTGAGATGAAAGGTGAACACAGGCAAGGTGAAAACAACCCAATCATTTCTGGGTCTTATTTTATTCATGTTTAAAATAAGAGCGTTACACTAGACATTTTCCTTCATTTAAAATTTTTAGTAATAAAACAACCCATAGGCCTAGGTTATAAGAAGAAAGGAAAAGCGTTCTTTAGAAAACGTAAAGTCTATTTTTTACAAAATGTTATCTAAAGTTAATTAGATTGCAAAAATCAGTACAGCCATACCAGTCTAACAGGTTTAATGTTTTTGGAAGGCAGCCTAGCATAACATTATTAACATCCACAAGACATCATTTGACCCAGTAATATAGTCGCTTCTGTAAATAGTGTAGAATGATAAAAACGATTGTCATTTCAGTGTTAGACATAATAGTGAACCTAGGGAATATGTGATATTTAGCATTATACTAGCAGAATACAAATTGTTTAATACATATAAGTTTAGAGGTTTCCTGTGTTTAAACAGCTGCTCACTAGCAAACTGACCTTGACAGGTGCTTACCCTTTCAGCCTCAGTGTCCTCTTCTGTAAAAATGAGAATATAATATTGATGTCACGGGGCTATACAGATTAAAAGAGACATTGTGTAAAGTGTTTAACATAATATGCTCAATACACAGAAGCTGTCATTCTGTGAATGAAGACCAAAGGAGAATATACGAAAGTCCTTAACAGAGTCAAATTATGGGTGATTTAGAAAAAGAATTATCAGTATTTTTTATAGTAAAAATATAAAAATCTAATTGAGAAGATAGGATTAAAGAATAAAACGAAATAAAAATTAACAAAACTATCAGAGAATCAGAAGCAATAAATGGTAGTAGTTATATAATCTTCCTTTAGTCTACCACTAAAGGAAGAAAACATGAAA